CTGAGGCTCACAGAGCCACACTGTGGCTCCCAGACCCACACACTGAGGCTCACAGACCCACACTGTGGCTCCCAGACCCACACTGAGGCTCCCAGACCCACACTGTGGCTCCCAGACCCACACTGTGGCTCCCAGACCCACACTGAGGCTCCCAGACCCACATTGTGGCTCCCAGACCCACACTGAGGCTCCCAGACCCACACTGTGGCTCCCAGACCCACACTGAGGCTCCCAGACCCACACTGTGGCTCCCAGACCCACACTGAGGCTCCCAGACCCACACTGTGGCTCCCAGACCCACACACTGAGGCTCCCAGATCCACACTGTGGCTCCCAGACCCACACTGAGGCTCCCAGACCCACATCGTGGCTCCCAGACCCACACTGAGGCTCCCAGACCCACACTGAAGCTCTCAGACCCACACTGAGGCTCTCAGACCCACACTGTGGCTCACAGACACACTCTGAGGCTCACAGACCCACACTGAGGCTCCCAGACCCACACTGTGGCTCCCAGACACACTCAAAGACCCACACTGAGGCTCCCAGACACACTCTCTGAGGCTCTCAGACCCACACTGAGGCTCCCAGACCCACACTGTGGCTCCCAGACAAACTCAAAGACCCACACTGAGACTCACAGACCCACACTGAGACTCACAGACCCACACTGAAGCTCTCAGACCCACACTGAGGCTCCCAGACACACACTGAGGCTCCCAGACGCACACTCAAAGACCCACACTGAGACTCACAGACCCACACTGAGGCTCCCAGACCCACACTGTGGCTCCCAGACACACACTGAGGCTCCCAGACGCACACTCAAAGACCCACACTGAGACTCACAGACCCACACTGTGGCTCCCAGACACACACTGAGGCTCCCAGACACACACTGAGGCTCCCAGACACACACTGAGGCTCCCAGACCCACACTGAGGCTCCCAGACACTCAAAGACCCACACGGAGACCGCGCATGTTCATCTCATCTCTGCGGCATCCAGCATCCGACACACTGAATATCTTTCTAGACCACAGCAGACTTGGGCCTCTCTGTCTGATGAAGGCACGGCCGACCGTATGCCTGGTGCGTGTCTACCACTCTCCCTGTCTCTCACTCTCACTGTCTCTCACTCTCCCTGTCTCCCACTCTCCCTGTCTCCCTCTCTCCCTAGCCCATATGGCCTATTATCTATGATTTTCCCCCCTGGCTAATCCCACCCCACGACAGAGGCCGTGTTATACTGTCCTCTGGAGGGCTGAACACATCATTCATGGCTCGCATAGGGACGATCCTCTATCCTCTCTATCCACCGTCTCATCCATCCCCTTTCTATCCTGTCATCCACCCCCTTTCTATATTCTCATCCCCCCCTTTTCCAGCTAGACCAATTTAAGTTCCACCCCCCTGGAGGTAATCGTATTTTATAGTAATTGAAATTATTCAACTACAGCGTCGTAAATGGTGAGAAATATCCCATTACAACGTCATAAATGGTGAGAAATATCCCATTACAGCGTCGTAAATGGTGAGAAATATCCCCATTACAGCGTCGTAAATGGTGAGAAATATCTCATTACAGCGTCGTAAATGGTGAGAAATATCCCCATTACAGCGTCGTAAATGGTGAGAAATATCCCCATTACAGCGTCGTAAATGGTGAGAAATATCCCCATTACAGCGTCATAAATGGTGAGAAATATCCCATTACAGCGTCGTAAATGGTGAGAAATATCCCCATTACAGCGTTATAAATGGTGAGAAATATCCCCATTACAGCGACACGAATGGTGAGAAATTTCCAAGTACACTGAAGTCTTGTCTAAACATAGAGACCATTTATCGAAACTATTTGTGAGCGTTTACCAATCACAACGGCGCCGAAGGATCTCGTCAATTCCTGTCCCCGTCCAACTGGCGGCGGTGACTACCGTTCAGTAGTTCCATTGGTGTACTTCGGAGATAGTGGAGGTGGTAGTTAGACTTCTAAGATAAGACTTCTAAGATAAGACTTCTAAGATAATGTGAGTGGCGTGGGAGGCTGGGTTACTGTACTCAATGAAGCTGTTTACACGTGCTTTAAGGGATCTGGATGGATTCTTCTACAAGAATATCATCTACATCTACCAAATGTTATCTACATCTACAAAAATAACATCTGTATCTACAAAAATATCATCTACATCTTCAAAAAAATATTATCTACATCCTAAAATATATAATCTACATCTACAAATATGTCATCTACATCGACCAGAAATATCTACATCTACAAAAATGTCATCTACATCGACAAGAAATATCTACATCTACTAAAATAACATCTACATCTACAAAAATATCCACATCAACAAAAAAATATATTTCAACATTATGGAAATACAGGAAAACCTTTGTTAAGAGAAAGTGTATACTTTAACCTCTGTTATTTTGGTTTGGGAAGTTTCAGGAATACGAGAGCCTGAGACTCGTGTTCTTCCTCGAAAAAAATTTATATATAAATATATATTCCTATATAAAAATATATAAAATTTATTTCCACCAATTACAGTAATTTTATCGTCCAATAGTTCCACAAGTTCAATCATGGAGAGCTTATATAGTCATCAGAAATAATTACATTATCGGAATTAAATGAAATCAACGAAATAGTGGAGTTAAACGATTTCTTCTCGAGGCTAGTTAAGCAGCGATAGTTTTCCCAGAGTTTAGCGATAGAGTGGCACTATCCACAGAGGTTACGGGCTATTCATGCCCGTGTCTCCTCTTAGGTAGTTGAAATTTTGTTATCAGTCGATCGACAGAGACCTCTGACGGTCGCAAGCCTCAATGACCATGGGACCAGATTCACGAAGCAGTTACGCAAGCACTTACGGACCTGTACATCTTTTCTCAATCTTTGGCGGCTTTGTTTACAATTATTAAACAGTTAATGAGCACCGAAGCACCAGGAGGCTGTTTATAACAATAACAACAGTTGAATGGCAAGTTTTGATGCTTGTAAACTGTTTAATAAATGTAACCAAAGCCGTCAAAGATTGAGGAAAGATGTACACGTTCGTAAGTGTTTGCGTAAGTGCTTTCGTGAATCTGGCCCCATATCTGTAGGTACCCACTGGTGGGTACCTACAGCGTCGTAAATGTGCCAACCTGTGCTACACCTGTGCTACACCTGTGCCAACCCTCACGCACAGGCAAAGCAACGAAAGCGCTCATGAAAAAATTTCCCAATGGATCAGTAATTACTCCACTATTATTAAGAAAAAAAATGGATTAATATGAAAATTAGCAGCCGGTGTAGAGTGTTGAGAGAAAAAAGTACATGATAACATGATAACATTTCATAATAACAACTCCCAGGAAAGAGAATGTTAAGATAACCCCCGCCCCCCCCCTTGACCTTAAGATGACATCTGTGGTGTTCTCTAATCACATGCAGGCGATGAGTCACATCAAGTTACGGGCTCGCCATAGCCCGTGCTACTTGGAAGTTTGTTCCAGGTAGCGAATCTTTAACAACAACAAGATGAGTCACAATAACGTGGCTAAAGTATGTTGACCACACCACACACTAGAAGGTGAAGGGACGACGACGACGTTTCGGTCCGTCCTGGACCATTCTCAAGTCGATTGACTTGACGATTGATTGACAAATCAAGTCGACGACGACGAAAAGTCGTCGTCCGTTCACCTTCTAGTGTGTGTGGTCTGGTCAACGTTCTCTAATCACCTCATTACTAACCGGTGTTCCTGACCTACACCTGTGCCAACTATGCTGGCTATAATAGGGATATAACAACCCTCCCCCCCCCCTTATTTACCCTTTCTCCAGGCCCCTTAAGAACGAACCATTAAAAGAGTAGGCACTGAATAGTCCTACGACATTGATGTTCCCATTTCTTAAAGGTCAAAGTTCGTGTCATCCAAAATACACAAGAATTAATGAAACTGGTTGGTAACCAGGCCTAAGAAACTTCAATATTTCCAACTTGTAAATGAACTTGTACCATACATGTATCCAGTATTCTCCAGATTAACGATCAAAATAAAGTTCGATTCTAACTTGCTACACTGTAAAAAGAAAGATAATAATACTGATATTGAAAATAAAAATAATTTAATATTGAATTGCCACTGAAATAGCCAATAGCCAACCGGATAAGGAAACATTAATAATACCAATACTATGATAATAATAATAATAAAATATAATCCCAATAAAATGAACAAAGTCGATTCAGTCGAGTCAGTCGATTAAGGCAGTGTCTGGGATGCTCCCGGACGCAGGTTCGAATCCTCGTCACGGCCCTTGTGGATTTGTTCATTTGATGCATCACGTTAGTGTGTTCTCTGTGTATAATCCCAATCCAAATGAAAATCCACCATTGGAACCCACAGCAGCTAACAGGAATTATTCACAACTCATCACGGGAGACCACAACTCATCACGGGAGACCACAACTCATCACGGGAGACCGCAACTCATCACAGGAGACCACAACTCATCACGGGAGACCACAACTCATCACGGGAGACCACAACTCATCACGGGAGACCACAACTCATCACAGGAGACCACAACTCATCACGGGAGACCGCAACTCATCACGGGAGACCACAACTCATCACGGGAGACCACAACTCATCACGGGAGACCACAACTCATCACGGGAGACCACACCTCATCACGGGAGACCACACCTCATCACGGGAGACCACAACTCATCACGGGAGACCACAACTCATCACGGGAGACCACAACTCATCACGGGAGACCACAACTCATCACGGGAGACCACAACTCATCACGGGAGACCAATTTAGATTCTATGGCCTCTCTGATATCTGTAAATTCCCGGCATAAATATGCAATAAATTGAAAATATGAACAACGATTAAAAATGGGATATTAATTACACACGAGGGAGTTCTAAATCTCATATTTTTACCCTAAATATTTTATGTTCAAAATTACGTGGTTATATTTGCGATTTTTTAAAGAGATACATTAGAGATTCTAGTTTGTACATCAATGACTGTTCTTTGTACATCAGAGCCTGTAGTTTGTACATCAATGACTGTACTTTGTACATCAGAGCCTGTAGTTTGTACATCAATGACTGTAGTTTGTACATCAATGACTGTACTTTGTACATCAATGACTGTAGTTTATACATCAATGACTGTACTTTGTACATCAGAGTCTGTAGTTTATGCATCATTGACTGTACTTTGTACATCAATGACTGTATTTTGTACATCAGAGCCTGTAGTTTGTACGTCATTGACTGTACTTTGTACATCAGAGCCTGTAGTTTGTACATCATTGACTGTAGTTTGTACATCAATGACTGTAGTTTGTACATCAATGACTGTACTTTGTACATCAATGACTGTACTTTGTACATCAGAGCCTGTAGTTTATACATCAATGACTGTACTTTGTACATCAATGACTGTACTTTGTACATCAATGACTGTACTTTGTACATCAATGACTGTACTTTGTACATCAATGACTGTACTTTGTACATCAATGACTGTACTTTGTACATCAATGACTGTAGTTTGTACATCAATGACTGTACTTTGTTCATCAATGACTGTACTTTGTACATCAATGACTGTACTTTGTACATTAATGACTGTACTTTGTACATCAATGACTGTACTTTGTACATCAATGACTGTAGCTTAAACATCAGCGACTGTAGTTTGCATATTATGTGTAGCAGTATTAATACTGGCTACATAAATTAGCATTTTACGACAAATACCATTTTTGCATCAATCTCCAGAGGATCATCAATCAATCAAAATCTCATTTGTACTCGACTTCAGCAAATAAAAATGCTTAAAAATCTCAATAGTATTCTAATTTTTTTTTAAGTCAGCTACATAAGCTTTCCCCCCCCCTTCCACCGGCCCCCCAAACCCCCCCCCCCAATTAGTTTTAAATATAATTAGCACTACAGATTTGGTGAAGATATAAGCAAACTGTGATGACTGACCCACACGCTAGAAAGTGAAGTGACGACGACGTTTCGGTTCGTCCTGGACTTGATAATGGTCCCGAACGGACCGAAATGTCGTCGTCGTCTCATCTCTTGGTGTGAGGTTTGGTCATCATATCTTCAGCCACGTCACTGAGACTCATCGTCTGAGTATTAGCAGTCTTAAATCCCCCAAAATAAGAATGAGCTGTTGAGCTTACCTGTACTCATGTTCCCACATTAGGCGTTAACATGTTAAACTCTTTCATATATTTTTCTGTTGATTGTGGATATTACGTCATTTTTGTGGAAAGCGACCAGGATTATGTATACTCTGAGGGCTACCATGCAATACACCTGAGGGCTACCATGCTATACACCGTGAGGGCTACCATGCTATACACCGTGAGGGCTACCATGCTATACACCGTGAGGGCTACCATGCTATACACCGTGAGGGCTACCATGCTATACACCGTGAGGGCTACCATGCTATACACCGTGAGGGCTACCATGCTATACACCGTGAGGGCTACCATGCTATACACCGTGAGGGCTACCATGCTATACACCGTGAGGGCTACCATGCTATACACCGTGAGGGCTACCATGCTATACCCCGTGAGGTCTACCATGCTATACACCGTGAGGTCTACCATGCTATACACCGTGAGGGCTACCATGCTATACACCGTGAGGGCTACCATGCTATACACCGTGAGAGCTACCATGCTATACACCGTGAGGGCTACCATGCTATACACCGTGAGGGCTACCATGCTATACACCGTGAGGGCTACCATGCTATACACCGTGAGGGCTACCATGCTATACACCGTGAAGGTCTACCATGCTATACACCGTGAGGTCTACCATGCTATACACCGTGAGAGCTACCATGCTATACACCGTGCGGGCTACCATGCTATACACCGTGAGGTCTACCATGCTATACACCGTGAGAGCTACCATGCTCTACACCGTGAAGGTCTACCATGCTATACCCCGTGAGGTCTACCATGCTATACACCGTGAGAGCTACCATGCTATACACCGTGAGAGCTACCATGCTATACACCGTGAGGGCTACCATGCTATACACCGTGAGGTCTACCATGCTATACACCGTGAGAGCTACCATGCTATACACCGTGAAGGTCTACCATGCTATACCCCGTGAGGTCTACCATGCTATACACCGTGAGAGCTACCATGTTATACACCGTGAGGTCTACCATGCTATACACCGTGAGGTCTACCATGCTATACACCGTGAGAGCTTCCATGCTATACACCGTGAGGTCTACCATGCTATACACCGTGAGGGGCTACCATGCTATACACCGTGAGGGCTACCATGCTATACACCGTGAGGTCTACCATGCTATACACCGTGAGGGCTACCATGCTATACACCGTGAGGTCTACCATGCTATACACCGTGAGGTCTACCATGCTATACACCGTGAGGTCTACCATGCTATACACCGTGAGGTCTACCATGCTATACACCGTGAGGTCTACCATGCTATACACCGTGAGGGCTACCATGCTATACACCGTGAGAGCTACCATGCTCTACACCGTGAAGGTCTACCATGCTATACCCCGTGAGGTCTACCATGCTATACACCGTGAGAGCTACCATGCTATACACCGTGAGAGCTACCATGCTATACACCGTGAGGGCTACCATGCTATACACCGTGAGGTCTACCATGCTATACACCGTGAGAGCTACCATGCTATACACCGTGAAGGTCTACCATGCTATACCCCGTGAGGTCTACCATGCTATACACCGTGAGAGCTACCATGCTATACACCGTGAGGTCTACCATGCTATACACCGTGAGGTCTACCATGCTATACACCGTGAGAGCTACCATGCTATACACCGTGAGGTCTACCATGCTATACACCGTGAGGGGCTACCATGCTATACACCGTGAGGGCTACCATGCTATACACCGTGAGGTCTACCATGCTATACACCGTGAGGGCTACCATGCTATACACCGTGAGGTCTACCATGCTATACACCGTGAGGTCTACCATGCTATACACCGTGAGGTCTACCATGCTATACACCGTGAGGTCTACCATGCTATACACCGTGAGGTCTACCATGCTATACACCGTGAGGTCTACCATGCTATACACCGTGAGGTCTACCATGCTATACCCCGTGAGGTCTACCATGCTATACACCGTAAGGTCTACCATGCTATACCCCGTGAGGTCTACCATGCTATACACCGTGAGGTCTACCATGCTATACACCGTGAGGTCTACCATGCTATACACCGTGAGGTCTACCATGCTATACACCGTGAGGTCTACCATGCTATACACCGTGAGGGCTACCATGCTCTACACCGTAAGGTCTACCATGCTATACCCCGTGAGATCTACCATGCTATACACCGTGAGGTCTACCATGCTATACACCGTGAGGTCTACCATGCTATACACCGTGAGGTCTACCATGCTATACCCCGTGAGGTCTACCATGCTATACCCCGTGAGGTCTACCATGCTATACACCGTGAGAGCTACCATGCTATACACCGTGAAGGTCTACCATGCTATACACCGTGAGGTCTACCATGCTATACACCGTGAGAGCTACCATGCTATACACCGTGAAGGTCTACCATGCTATACCCCGTGAGGTCTACCATGCTATACCCCGTGAGGTCTACCATGCTATACCCCGAGAGGTCTACCATGCTATACACCGTAAGGTCTACCATGCTATACACCGTGAGGTCTACCATGCTATACACCGTGAGAGCTACCATGCTATACACCGTGAAGGTCTACCATGCTATACCCCGTGAGGTCTACCATGCTATACCCCGTGAGGTCTACCATGCTATACACCGTGAGGTCTACCATGCTATACACCGTGAGGTCTACCATGCTATATACCGTGAGGTCTACCATGCTATACACCGTAAGGTCTACCATGCTATACACCGTGAGGTCTACCATGCTATACACCGTAAGGGCTACCATGCAATACCCCGTGAGGTCTACCATGCTATACACCGTGAGGTCTACCATGCTATACACCGTAAGGTCTACCATGCTATACACCGTAAGGTCTACCATGCTATACCCCGTGAGAGCTACCATGCTATACACCGTGAGGTCTACCATGCTATACCCCATGAGGGCTACCATGCTATACACCGTGAAGGTCTACCATGCTATACACCGTGAAGGTCTACCATGCTATACCCCGAGAGGTCTACCATTCTTCACGGTGAATATATTCTGGACGTTCACTTTGGTCCTGCACAATATACAGGACAAATTAGGACTTAACTTGCTGGTATATCTTGAGGTTATCTTGAGGTTATCTTGAGGTTATCTTGAGATGATTTCGGGGATTTTTTAGTGTCCCCGCGGCCCGGTCCTCGACCAGGCCTCCACCCCCAGGAAGCAGCCCGTGACAGCTGACTAACACCCAGGTACCTATTTTACTGCTAGGTAACAGGGGCATAGGGTGAAAGAAACTCTGCCCATTGCTTCTCGCCGGCGCCTGGGATCGAACCCAGGACCACAGGATCACAAGCCTGCGTGCTGTCCGCTCGGCCGACCGGCTCCCTTAGGTCATAGAGGTACTGTAGTGGCCTGGAAACCGGCTTTAAACCCGACACCTAACCGAGGCAGAACGAACTTGGAAACTAAGACGTTCCTGAAACTTCAGGAACTAGGAAAAGAGAGCATTCCAAACGCTATATACAACCTACATGGGACCCACAGGCGAGTATGCAGTCCCGAATTAGAATTTCTACCTTAAAAACCACAAAGGTTAATTAGATACGATATAAAGATATGAAACTAGGCTTTAATTCTAAGCTATGAAGACTGAGGGGGAATGAATTAAGGGGAGACATGATAGCGACATGCAAGATTTTAAAGGGAAGGAATCGGAGACGCCAAAGAGTCACACAGATGTCAGGAATTTCGTCAGCGTAAGAGTTGTAAATACAAATAATTTGTTGGATACAAAAGTTGTCGCTGGTTACCAAATACAAAGTTTTAATTGTAAATATGAGAGGAAAATTGACTAGTCAATGCATTCAAGTCACTCACTTGCACGGATACAGACACACATCCCAGTTGAGAGGCGGGACTAAAGAGCCAGAGCTCAACCCCCGCAAGCACAACTAGGTGAGTACAACTAGGTGAGTACTTGTACATGTACACACACGAGATGAAGTCCTTCATGAAACGGAAAGAGAGAAAGATCTAGGAGTTGATATCACACCAAACCTGTCTCCTGAAGCCCACATCAAAAGAATTACATCGGCGGCATATGCGAGGCTGGCTAACATCAGAACAGCGTTCAGGAACCTGTGTAAGGAATCATTCAGAACCATGTATACCACATATGTAAGACCAATCCTGGAGTATGCGGCCCCAGCATGGAGCCCGTACCTTGTCAAGCACAAGACGAAGCTGGAAAAAGTCCAAAGGTATGCCACTAGGCTAGTCCCATAATTATGAAGCATGAGTTACGAGGAAAGGCTGTGTGAGATGAATCTCACGACACTAGAAGACAGAAGAGCTCGGGGAGACATGATCATTACCTACAAAATTCTCAGAGGAATTGACAGGGTAGATAAGGGTAAACTGTTTAACACGGGTGGGACGCGAACAAGGGGACACAGGTGGAAACTGAGTACCCAAATGAGCCACAGGGACGTTAGAAAGAACTTTTTCAGTGTCAGAGTGGTTAACAGGTGGAATGCATTAGGCAGTGATGTGGTGGAGGCTGACTCCATACACAGTTTTAAATGTAGATATGATAGAGCCCCAGTAGGCTCAGGAACCTGTACACCTGTTGATTGACAGTTGAGAGGCGGGACCAAAGAGCCAGAGCTCAACCCCCGCAAGCACAACTAGGTGAGTACACTGTACCAGACCCCCCGTTCCACTGGAAGAGAAACAAACCCTTAACTGACAGATACTGGTGGAAACCATTGGGCAGGCATTCCAGTGCTAATGACGACCATAGTTCCTATTCCAAATTCAGTAATGGCGGTGGGGGTGCGGTGGCCTGGAGGCTAGTATCTGGAATATGTCGGCCATTCCAGGACTCTCCCTGGATTATTAAATAATTCCAGCGTTGTGTCGGATTAAAGTGAAGAGATTACTGATACAGGGAATTGCAAAGTTGCTCTGCAATTGTGGGATTCACAGGGTATTTGTTTTGA